CTTGGCCAATTTCATTCCCTTTCCTCCTCCTCCCATCACTGCTTTAATCAAAACTGGAAAGCCAATCTTCTTTGCCTCTTCTAACAATTTCTCTTCTCCCTGTTCATCACCATGATAGCCCGGAACGACTGGAACCTTGGCCTTTTCCATAATTTTCTTACTTTCACTCTTTGAGCCCATCGCAATGATTGCTCCTTCAGGTGGTCCAATAAACACAATTCTATTCTTTGCACAAAGGCTAGCAAAATTGGCGTTTTCAGAGAGGAAACCATAACCTGGATGAATGGCTTGAGCTCCACTCTTCTTGGCAATTTCAATAATCTTCTCACCCAATAGATAGGATCGGCTAGATTCAGGTGGACCTAACAAGTAGGCTTCATCAGCCATTGCTACATGCATGGAATTGGCATCGGCTTCACTATACACTGCAACCGTTTGAATACCGAGCTTTTTAGCTGTTTTAATCACTCTGCAGGCAATTTCACCTCTGTTGGCGATGAGAATCTTATCAAAGAGTGGTTTCTTGACTTCTTCTCTTGTTACAGATTGATTGGTATGGTAAGATGAAGAGATGGGTTGTGTTCTTGATAAGCCACGAACAAGCAACGCAGAGGCATGAGAAGAATTTACGTTCATCATCATCATGGAGCGAGAGGATGATGAAAATAAACAATTCTTGGTTGTGCCATGACGATCATGCATCGTACTTGTCGAGTAGTGCAACTTGGCTCCGGAAGTTGTTGTTGTGTGTGCCAGACATGATGAATTTGTTGAAATGCTTCTGGAGGCAGAGGTAACAGATTTTCTAATCATTTTTGAAGATTTCATTTTTTTTGTAACGTCGGGCTCAGCACTTTACGAAATTAAAAGTGACACACAGTGGTTTAACCCGAGCCAAAATACTCCAGCGAGTTTGTTGGCGAGTTGGCGAGGGTCAACGTTTCTTGATGCATCATTTGAGTGCTTTTGTTTATGTACTTTATTGCACAACAACTCTTGCCTCAATTCCAACCGAGAGAGTGTATGCCTTGTAAAGCTTTAGGCAGATCTGCCCGGAATTGCATAACGATTTTTGGCAAAATACAAATAGTACATGCAGAACATTTGCAACTCGTGAGAACAACAATATTTGGATGAAACATGATAATAAGGGACTAATAAATGGCAGCAACAACAACAACAACCGATGAAACTTGAAAATAAAGGACTACTCAATAACGAGCCGTGAGGGGCAGAAGTATGGAACGGATCACGATTACGAGCGGGTGGGTGATGAATATAGTGATACTTCTTCTGATGAAGAGTCTGATGAGTCCTAGGAAATGGCATCATTGGTTAGTATTGAATCTCTCAAAAGGGCATCATTGGTTCGGAAGGCTTGCTGTTGTTCATTATCATCACCACCCTACCCGAACGATAGAAAATATTTATTATTATTAAGGATTTTTAAAAAAAATAATTCATCATGAACAACCAGAGTCGTGAGGAGAATAATTTAAACAACCCTCGTTTCACCTCCTCCCATCATCCATTCCTTCAACCTATATTCCCACCAAATCCCAATCTTTTCACTCAACAAAATCCATCCTCTCAACCAATTTTCCCTCCAAATCCCGCCATTTTCTCCCCAAATCTCTCTTTTCAACCTGAATTCCCTTCGCCATGGATCCCTCTAAATCCCTTCTCTCCTCAATTATATCCAATCATTCCACCATTTCCTCCAAGAATTTCAGAACAAACATCAACAAAGGACCAAGAATCACCCAAGTTGGAACATGTTGACAAGTCATCGGTTACCAATATCAACCCCCTCAAAGCACCCAATCCTACCAGAGAAAGTGAAAAAACCTTTCAAAACTCAAAGAGAGTCTTGGTGATAAAGGAGCAACCACAAATGATATACAAGCATCCTTATCAAAAACGTTCCATGATGGAACGTATTGATAAATGGCGTAAATTGAAAGGCGTTGGTGGTTTTAGTGGTTTTTTCTATCCCTCCATACATACCAATGGCGCAAATTAAATTTTCGCCATGTGAACACATTTTGAGTGATCATTATAAGTGTGAGGAAGAAAGAGCAAAGAAAAAGAAGAAGATTGCTTCTCATTGGCAGAGATTGGAAGTATTGAAAGACGTTTCTACTGTTGATAAATTTGGAGACTTATTAAGGACTGCTTATTTGGAGCGTGGAATTAATATTGAACCTCTCTCTCTCGATCAAGGAAAAGCATACGCAACCCAAGAACATTGCATGTTGTTATTTTTAAAACAATTCAATATGGAATGGAGTAAGATTGGTACTTTCTTTTTTGATAGATCCATCAACTCATTAAAGAAAAAGTACAAGAAATTGAAAAGAAAGATTAATCGTGCCAGAATGGAAGGAGCGTATGACGTTTCAGATGCAACAAATTTTATCATTCAATGGAGTGTCGATGATTTAACCTTTTCAGAAATCACTGATAGTAACACCTTTACCTCTACTGTATCGATAACTTTTCCAGAAACATGGACAAATTCTGACCATTACCACAAAATGATTATGAAACTTGGTCAATTAAGTCCATCCAAACCCTTACCGTTAAGACAAGCACAACCATCATCGAACAAGTCCAATGTATCAACGACTCCAGGAGAACCTTATTCACAGTCGGAAGAGGATTTAATTGTGACATCCTTGCGGAAGGGAATGAATTTGGAACAAATTTACCGAGATTACTTTACACACCGAACATTTCAGTCGCTGAAAAATAAGGTTCGACGGTTAAGAAAAAGGCAACTCTATCACAAACAGCAACCAACGAAGAAGAGATTGAATAAGAGAAGGATGGTTCCCAATTCCACTGTTTCGACTGATTCAAAGGAGTTAAGAAAACCGTTTTGGCATGATGATACGGTTGATCGTTTGAACAAGATTTGTCCCGTGTCATGTTTTGCCAAGAATGGTACGAAAATACTGACCCAAAGTTAGTTTACCCTCTCCGTTCGCCAACGATATCCATCCACAGAACCACCTCCGAGCAAGAAGGAATTGGTAGAAAAAGTGTGGAGCAAATCAGAAACTTGGAAAAAGATGCCATGTAAGTGTGGAAATTCCAAGTTTATAAGGACAGTCTGCTCGTTCAACGGACGCAAGTTTGGGTCAGAAAAGAAGATGCTTGTTCAGGAATTCAAGGAAGTATCTGCGTTGGAGGAGTCTTTAACAATGCTTCAAGAGAACGGAGTGAATTCATCCACGACTGCTGAGAATGAAGTGAGTTCATCTGCGACTACTGTGAACGAAGTGAATTCATCCACTACTGCAGAGAATGAAGTGAATTCATCTACGATTGCTGAGAATGGAGTGAGTTCATCTACGACTGCTGAGAATGGAGTCAATTCATCCACTACTGCTGAGAATGGAGTGAGTTCATCTACGACTGCTGAGAATGCAGTCAATTCATCCACTACTGCGAAATCAAAGGAAAAAGCTGATGACACTATTGAGAAATTGCTAAAACAAATTTACACCTCCTTCTCAATCTCAAACGAAGACAATTATTTTGTGAGAACAAAGAAAGTGAGATTGAAACTCACCTCAGAACAAAAGAAGGTCTTTGAAAGATTTTTCTTCAATTCTAACCATGCTTATAATGAAGCATGTCTCCTTCATTTCATGTTAGAGCAAAACAAGGGAAAAACACTCTTTACCACCACAGAAGACGATTACTTTAAAATTTTGAAGAATCCCCAAACCAACCTGAGATTCCAACAAACTAGATGGCTATGGGATCAAGAGTTGAAACATTGTCCAGCAGATATTAAATTGAACGCTGTGAAAGACTTTGTCAAGGCTGAGAAAATTACTAGATATAAAAACAAGCAAGCAGCAGAAAAGGAATCCAAAGAGGCTGCTCGAAAGGCCAAAAACCAATTTCTTAAAAAGGTTCAAAAAGGAAAGAAGGAGATGATTACTGATGAGGAATTGAACGAAAGATTTAATCCCAAACATTTTACTCGACAACCTCGTGAATTCGAAATGAAAGGACGAAGCAATCAACATCCATATCAATCGTTCAAGGTGACAAACATTTCATTATCACAGGAAGGAGTGTTGTTAAAACCTACCTTTTTTAAAGGGAATGAAAGTGCATG